AACACCCTAGATGTTTCATTTAAGATGGTAAAGAATACCTTCCAGGAACTTTATGGAAAAGTTCGGTTTCTGTTTAATTAAAGCACAAAACTATTGAGATTTCTTCAAGGGGTAGAAAATGCTTACAAATTTAAAAAAATATATTAAATATAAATGACAGGCTAAACCTGAACAAAATCTACTTCATTTCTTGCATAGAATATAAAAATGCAATTATACATATACAATTAAACTAAGAAAGATGTTGCGACGTTTATTTGAAAGTGATAAACACTTCTAACAGGCTATCCACTGAGCGGCTTATAGTAATAAAGATATTAATAATAATAACAATAATGTGAATAATTTAAATAAACGAGTAACTAAAGAACAACCAGTAGTTTTAACGGCATCAGCAGTTTCTGAACATCATCACAAAACAGAACAGAAGTTTTTATCTCTCTACAGGTATTTAGGATGCATGCGGAAAAACTGAATTAGTAGAATAATATTAGTTATCTCAATACCTATATAAGAAGTATTTATAAAAATAAGGATAAGAAATATTAGGATCAGGAAGTTTTCATTGTAATACGTTATCACAAACGTCATCGAACAAATCGTTCTTAGCTTTGATTTGATGATCTGGTTTTCCGGAAACTAAATGAGTATTATAAGACCGTGAAAAAGTTAGGAAATGAAGAGAAAACAATATTTGTTTTACATGGAATAGGCTATGAGATGAGGCAAATATCTATTAGTTCACCATTGAATGCAAAGATAGATAAAAAGAACAACAGTCTTGGAAATAGGTATCGATTTTATGAAAATACTTAAGTAAAGCACATTTGAAAAAAAGGAATATTTGAATAGAAGGGGAAATCAAAACCAAATAAATAACGATATAAATTTCGCAATCATCGTACCATATCAATGATTCTGACAAGCCCAGCTTTGGAATCAAATTCTAATTGTTTGATTAGGCACTTTTGAAATAGGAGAGAAGTAGAAATTATACAAGAAAAGTATACGCTTCGAACTATAGGCAATCTCTAAACTTTAGATACATCATTATACTACTCCTAGATGTATCAGTCGCCTATGTGGTTTATGCATGATTGTTCGTCAACATATTGTGCGTTGTCAGTACGCTAATATTTACATGGCAGTTTCAACATCGATGGATTGGCCCTGAAAGTGAATTTGGCCACCAAGAAGTCCAGACTTAAACCCCCTGGGCTTTTAATACTTGAAGAATTTCGTATACGCTCAAGAAATTAATTGTTTGTAGGTTAGAAATAGTAAATAGATTTTAATTAACAAAGATACTACTAGATGAAGATGGTGGATAGCATTTGATTCGAAGTTTTTTTTATTACTATTACCAAAATTGTTATTGCAAAATATGGCTTCATTTTTGTTCCCGGTACCTTTTAAATGTTCCCTTAAAAAAAAGGAAAAAATGCCTTGAACTTTTTGAATGACGCCTTTTCTATGAAAAATTGAACAATCTTTTAAATTTTTCAAGCATTTCTACTGCGTCGGTTTCTTGAATCATTCTTTATGCATTAACCACTATATATTATATGAAATATGCATCTACTTGATACTGATTTGCAAACTGAACTATCGAAAATGTAAAAAATTCATTAACAAAAATATGTTGCGATCTAAGAAAAATTTTACCAACAATTAAATGGATATGCTATGGGCTAATTGTACTTAATGAAAATAACATAAAAACAAAATGGCATGCATAAAATATATGGTCAGAATGGTAACTAAATTATAATTCTAATCACCCAAAAATTAAAAAAATCTGTTATTATTGATTTAACAGATCGTGGTACAAAAATATTGTCACCATATATATAGGGCAGACATTTTATCAAAAGTCATTAATTAATTTTTTAAAATTGAATGAATTAAAAATTATTAAAAAAGAAATAAACGCTGCGAATGATCGACAATATATTAGGAATTTAACTCTCACCAACTAACAACATAAATTTCAACAGTTATGCATTACTTGTACTTTCCCAATTCATTAAAAATATCACTAAGCTATTGTAATTATTTTGATCTAAAATATTTAATTTATATAATATTTGTATGTAATTTTAGATTCTTGATAAAGATCGTCATTATGTATGTCATATCGTAGATGGGTACAGAGCAAACATCCAAAAGTGCCCTTTACGATCGTAGATGAAAACTAGGGTTTTCCGGTCTGTGGTCGGTGTATAGTCCCTCACAATCCCAATTCGTGTCTCGTTCTAATTCATCTGCAGCGGATAACCTTTGATGAGATGCCCTCCTCTTCCTCTACATCGACTTGTATAAGTAGACTTGCCGCGGTATAGACGGAGAACGTTTAATATCAGCGTCGAGAGGAACATCGTTAATCTTGCACTGCCTACACAGAATGTAATTATGTAGATATAGAGTTTCGGAATCGGCGTTGCCATTTTCTAAATTCACTAGTGAATTTGACTGTTTCTGTTTAAATTAAATGATTGAAAATGTTATCGTAATGTTTATAGTGATATATAAAAATCTTTAAAAAAAGAAAAGTTTAGCCAGAGTTTTCAATGTAATTAACATTGAAGTTTTTCTCTCTAACCCATCTTTTTAATTTCAATTTTTAAATAATATTTCAAATACAAAAAAGGTCTAAAAATAGGGTAAGTGATTTCGTTAGAGTTTAGTTTAAATTTAAATTAATATTAAATATTATTAAAATTCTTTGCTAAGATTTCTTTTGCAAGGATAGTAGTTACTCAATTTACCTTACAGATTGTTTTTTTCTGTGTGATGAAAATGATTGTCACCTTTTTTTAATTAGAAAATCACTCAGATAGAACTCAAAAAGATTTCGTTTGCAAATATAGTAGTTTTACTTACAATTGCAATTTACAATTTACTTTACAGATTCTTTTTTTCTCTGTGAAAAAATAATTGTGCCACCTTTTTTAAATCTAGAAAGTCACTTAGATCGGACTAAAAAAGTGGAAAACATCAGGACTTTTAGAAATATATCAGCGAAAAAATCTTTGCTAAGATTTCCTTTTCAAGGATAGTAGTTACTCAATTTACTCTACGAGTATAGATTGTTCTATTCTGTGTCGACAAAAATTGTTGTGCCAATTTTTTTATAAATAGAAATGCTTTTACACAGTGCTAAAACCAGTAGAAATTTCAGATTTTCACGAGATTATATATTTTGACATGACAATTGTTCCGACAATTTTTGATATTGATAAAGACACGGTGTTGTCGAAACAATTGTCATGTGAAAATATATAATTTCGTGAAAATCTGAACTTTTAGTTCTTATTTATTTTGATAAATGGATTTTCATCAAGTAAAAGCCACCTCAGTTCAATATCAGCGCTTATTGTGCTAACTTTTTCTTTCGTCGAAAAGAGCACTTAAATATGGCTAAAAAAGGAAAATTTGAAATTTTCTGTAGTAGATGAGAACTTTTTTAAACTACAAAATTTTCTTTTTATTTTATATTCAATTTTATCTAAGATGCAGCAGTGGAACAAACTGTTAATTTAAGAAGAATAAAATAGTTTCATATGTGATTTCAACCAAATTTTTATTCAAAAATTTATACCTAATGTAATTTTAATTTTCAAACTTAAAAATATATTTCGATGAAATAGGTGTCATAACTTGATTAAAATTTCTTTGAAATGTAGCCAATTTTTTTAAGTACCTACAACAAGAAAATACCGAATGAACACATTTTACTAGATCAGTAAAAAAAATTATCTAACTCGGCCATATCGTTTGCTAAAACAGATAAAAATAAATTCCACAGTATAAAGTTGTAGATAAAAGACTTTGCTGTTTCAAACGTGCTTTTCTGCCTTTGGAGTAGAACAAATTCCAATTCTGGCCGAATTATTTGAAGAAATCAAAAGGTGGGTGAAAAAAACCATGGACAATTTAGTAGTCGATATGCGGTAAAATCTCCGAACACATCCGATTGCTCCCAAAACCGTGCGGTAATATCCCAAAACTGCCCAAAGTGGCTCAGATCCGTGGAACAAGAATCTGACATGGTAAAATGACGCTTCCCGCATGCTAGATCGGTATTTAATTGAGCATTTTACAGAAACGAGTAGAAAACGTTTTACTTTACTTTATTTTTACCCATATAGCTAGGTACTAGAGATATAGAGGACCTGCCCATGCCGAAGATACAGACAATTTATGAGGCAGCTATGAACAATATTTTGAGAAGGTCCATTCATCGTTCCCGAGCGCGAGATTTAAAATCTTGTTTTTAACCATTTACTTACGGGATTCGACAAACAACATGGCCGCTGACAGATCGTCAATAAGTTTGGATGCACCGTTTTTACGGCAGTATTTTCTCAAAATATGCCTAGATCAATGCCGCTTGCGGCACATGAATTTTTACCGTAGTAGAGCACTAAATTATCTAATAGCTATATGACTTTACCAAACCAATTATGGACTTAACATTTTGTAAATCGTTTTGTGTGGAATCAAATTTTCTAAAAGTTTATTGCGAAAGGTAATTACACTAACGATAGACCGGGCAAACTAACACCCGTTTTAAGGCCAAAACGAGGCCTTTGTCTGACCGCAACTTTTATAAGCTGCCATTTTTATTTTACTAGTTATATATGGGCGCACATATGTATATATATATATATATATATATACTCAATGAATACGTTAAACCTTCCGATCGTAAAACGTAATGTTAAAACTTTCCGAGAAAGAGAGACGCGAACATATCCATGTTGAATTTAAATCAAAAATCCATCTCGCGTAATCGACATTGTATGCAATGGCAAACGATTGGATAATATACCCGATAAAAACGTATCATTACGTGAGACGCGGGCGAGGTTCCACCCCTCCACTTATTCAGGCTCCTCCTGAACGGTCGGATTGGACGAGACGAATTTCCCGAAGAGGGAGAAACACGTTGCAAACGTCCACCGCACGCGCGCTCATTCAATAACCGCCGAGTTGCGTTGAAATTGTTAAGGTCCGAGTGGGTTCTGTCCCGCTCTCGAGCCTAATTCAGGACTGTTATAACCTCCAAATATTTCGCGTTGTCGCGTCGTTGCGTGTTGTTTTTTTGTTGTTGTTGTGGTTGTTGTGTTGGATCGAGGTAATAATCGTATCGCTAATTTATTAGTGAAGCCGGTGCGGGGTGCGTTCGAGAACGCATTCTGCGGCCAAACGCTGTCAAGATTCGCGTCAAAAACAGAGACCCCGTGCAAGTGTATCCAATGGAAATGGATCCCCAGGAACGCGAGACCGATTTGGGGGACGAGAGCCCCGTGGTACGTACCGATTGTTTTAATATTTCGGCGACACCCTTGCCGAGGTGCATTGGACGTTGTTATTGAGTGAGTTGATGTAGACGACGATTGATTTGAAGCAAATATCGACTGCATATGTTTTTATTTTACATTGTTGGAAACCCCACGAGAGTCAAGACTGGCCTCTGCAAGTTTACTTGATATTATTCTAAAATATTATACTATACAATATCCAGCAAGTTCAAGCACATTAACAATTTCTTTAAAAATGTATTTATAAAATATTTTAAAGCGCAACTGAAGTCCAGAAAACTTTAACATTAACATAACACAATGATTTAATCAAGGATTTAATAATAGCAAACAAAAAATGTAAGTACTTTTAACAGAAAAAGTTTGGATAAACTTATATAAATTATTGACTGATTTGCTTTTTACAAAACTTTTGGATTCCTCCTGCGTCGGTTTTTGCTTAGTCGAAATTGCTGACGTTTCGCCAATCATCCTGTTGACTTCTTCAGCGCTTGATTGAAACAGCAACAAAAACCGACGCAGGAGGAATCCAGAAGTTTTGTAAAAAGCATTACAGTAGCCTGTGGAAGTATCTTTGAAAAATTATTGACTAATTTATTAATTTTGTATTTCTAAAAGAAAAGCCTGTGTTCAAAGATGTTAAGATGTCGAATTAGTGGTTTGACAGTTGTAATAGAAGTACTTTTTTTGGTACATTAATGGGTGAAAAGAAGTTTAATTGCTCAAATTATTCAAAGAAAAAAGTCTGATATCGAAAATGGAAAAATAATACGTAGGAGTAGATTTATGGTAAGAAATATTATCTTAAAATACGGTCTGTGCGTATATCTATCTAATAGGGCACCCGTGGGATATATTAGAAAAAAGAAATCGGTGTCATGAAATAACCAACAAAAAAAATTAAGAGAAGTTTTGTCAGAAGAATGAAAAAAAACTAGAAGAAGAAATAACACAAAAAAACTACTGCAGTTTAGGCAATATTAATGGAATAGTATAAACTTGTTTTGGTGATTTTTTACTTTTTAATTAACTTTTTGTATGCCTTTTGATTTTTTTGAATTTAATATTTTATTTCCTCGACTTTGCATTCTATTCTTTATATCAAAAAAATTGTTACGATCCAAAGACTTTCTGCTCAGGCATTTTTGATATATTGGCGCACATATCAGAAATTAAAATTAAGATGAGTAAGCCTGCCCTGTTGGCTATCACTATGAACATGATTAAGTTAAAGGAAATGTCCTTCAAAAAATTTGATACATTAAAAATCCTGTTGACTGGAATTTCTATAAACAAATGTTGCAATAAGCAATGAAAAAAAAAACATTAACAATTTAAAAATACTTTGGAAAAAACTAAATAAGCTTGATATCTTTTCATTGCAAAAAACAAGCACTATTCTTGAAACTCTAGATAATCCAAACGAAATAGCTAAATAATTTTTAAAATGTTCGTTGTCCAACCGTCAAATCGATAATGACATATTGCATTTCCACAAGCAGAAATGAAAAAAACACTCATTATTTACTTTTTGCACTGTTACAGAAAGATGTTGATGAATATGATGAATGAAATATTTGTTCGAAATTAATAGTCCTGCTACAGGTCCGGATCGGTGAGTTTGGCAATGACTTTATTGAGTTATGAAAAAGTTTTGTCTTTTATAATTAATATTGGAAACGAGATTGGAAACTTTGTTATGTTATATTATAAATAATTTTAATAAATAATTTTGGAAATTAAATTTCCAGGGTGACTCATCTACCAAAAAAAATAAGATCCTAAGACATACACGAACCTCCACTAACCAACCAAGTAGTGGAGGATCAGTTTTGTCCAGCATAGTTACGAATCAACAGATTAGGGAACATCTAGATGCTCAATTATCAATCTGGTTTTAGAAAAGAGTTTAGCTGTACTACTGTCTTGTACCACCTTACAGACGATACTATTAGAGCTTCTGATTCTGGGAAAAACACTTATTTGGTTTTATTGGACTACTCTAAAGTTTTCGATAAATTAAATTATCAACTATTGTTAGCTATTCTCCACTTTGTCAGACATCTGAAGCAGTTGTTGGATTTATCCAGAATTATCTTCATAAGAGATAGCAGTACAGGCTAAGAGTGGTGTATCACCTGTAGGTATCACGTATACTGTTTAAAACGAAACAGAAAAATTCAGTAGAAAAAATAGAAAACAAAGGAAATCAATAAAAAAATACACAGATAGAGTTTGAGCAATGTAAATTTACGCAGTGTATACTGAATAAAACTAGGTCGCGCAGGCGGATGTGCCAAAGTGTGTTGGAAAGATCTGTGTAATCCAATATTGAAAGGATCGCAATAACCGCCCACAGATTATTAGGGCTAATTTAGAAATTCATTCGAATATTTATTAAGAATGAATATTTAATATAAGTTGATAAATTGTATATACATTTTTTGTGTTGATGCAGAAATTGTTATTTTTTTATTTTTTCTGCTGCGTTATTTATTTGATATTACTATAACATTCTATTTTGTTTTTCTTACGATGTTTCTTTTCGTCGTTACCAATAGTGCAAACATTGTTTGGAAGGTGTTGTGTATTAAGTCAGAGATCAAATAACGTAAAATGCTGTAGTTCTTACTATAGTGAGTGTAATATTAAAAGTTCTGGAAAACTAACGAGAAGAACCCATAACTTTAATTTCTTTGCTCATGCAGAGTGTAGGATAGGATCTTAAGTTTAGCATTCGAGTTTTTAAGTAAAATTGACACATGTTGCGAAAATCTTAAGTTCGAATCTATACGTAAGCCCAGATTTCTAGCAAACTTAGACCCTTTAAAGCAGAAGTTGTCAATACAAAAATTAATATCTTTGTTATTTATTAACTTGGTTATTTAGGTCTTGTTAGTATTTAATTTGAAACCATGGGATCTGGATCACTTTTAATATAATCGATAACGAGATCAACGTCCATCAAGGGAAAGGAATAGTATAATTGTTAGTCTCAGAATTTTAAAAAAGCTGCAAAATCGGCTGTATAAATAGAAACAATTATAGAAATTCAGAAAGTGGTGACAATAGACGAAAATCAAATGCACAGATGGGATTAGTCCTTTTGGGCACTGGAATGATCATAGAGCCGTTGGGAAAAATGACACCAGAAAGGCAAATATATCTAAAATTGACGAAACCCGAAATTATTGTTGCCGGATGACCCCCATTTTATTTTAATTCCATATTTTGCAATTTTATTAAATCAGAAATATTTTCACAACTGGTGAGCCGTTATAATAAAATCGACCTTGGTAATATTCCCGAATGTATAAATCGCATTTTATTAAACGAAGTACATAGTCACGAGAAAGCAACATAAATCGAGCTGATTCGACCGAGAAATCGGAATGGCTTCATTATATACTACCAAATTGTTCGAACGGCCCTCCAAACAGGAATCGAATTTCAAAACTTGTTCTGGATGCCACGAATATTTGCCGGGTTAATTATTTATCGATAAAAATTGTTCGGTATCGAGTTTAAAATTGCGTTAAGCAAATAATTTTAGAGAGGACGTGATAAATAAAACTGTAAATAAAAACATAACTCTCTGTATATTTTACACTTTTTTTGCAATTCGAAACGGCAGGCGGTCTTTCTCGGAAACCTTTTTTTTTTTTAGTTTCAACTTTAGCTGTCTACACTGCAAAGTGGGATATTTAGAATTAATTTATGATCGAAATTATTAAAAAATATATATCTCAAAAACATTTTAAATTAAAAGCGGATAATATATTTAGTAACATTTTAAAATTTTGAGGATAAACAGATATTTGCATTACCCAGGGTTAGTCAAAAATCCCACACCAATCAAATACTTCATTTTTCAATTTATTTGGAACACTTGGTATGTTTGATTCAATAATTATATGGAAAATATTTCCGAGTTTATAGTTTTCTTCCCAGAGGTCCGAACTTTGTTGCTTTAAATGAAAAACGTATAGTTTTATTTAATTGTTAAATTGTTTGTATCTTAAAAACCAACTAAAACATATTCTTTTGAGTTGAGTTGAATTACTGGCTGACAAATTTGCATCAGATATTCAAAAGAAGTGTTCAAGTTCTAAAACCGACAGCGCGTTAGCTTCCTTACCCCATGTAATACCAATTAATCTGGAAATGTTTATTCTCGATAGTTTTCCGTTGTTATTTCGAATCGTCCAATGAGCCCTATGCAAGCTCTATCTAATTGCTGTAATGCTTGTGTCGTGTGACTAAGAAGAAAAACCAGCACTACCTCATTTTAACTAGCAACTTTTAAGAGATGTCCGTCATGTATGAGAAGGGCCTTTCATGGTCGTTTCTTTGGCGGAAAATATCTTTCAAATGTAAAGTAAAAAAAACGCAAAGTAACGTCCAAATTAATATACGACGATTTAGGGGTCATTAAAACGCTAGAAGTAGGACATAGGCCAGATAAAACTCGCCCTTTTTATGCTTTTCCTTAATAAACATTTTTTGCGACTTGTCAAGCTACTACTGGATGTCTGTCTCATCAACACTAAATATTTGCCTTAATTTATCAAGCAATTCATTTGTTGTAATAATTTCAAGCAACAGAGTGAAAAAATGGATGACCTCTTGCCTATTCATACTTCTAAATAACAAATGACGTATCAAGGTTCGAGGTGCAATCCCATGGGCTCGGCTTGCTTCATTTACACCCATTTCCCTCGATAGTTTTACTTTTTCCGTAGTCTCTGCTAAAGCAGCTTAACTAAATGAAGCCGATGTAGCCTCACGGAGATTTTTTTCCCTAAAAACAAACTTAATAGTAGTAATTAATAGCATAACAACAAATAAGGCATTTTACTAGTGAGCCGCGTTCCTCAATCGCTCGTAAAAAAGGCCCCACCTTTATAATAAATTATGGCAATCGACAAAACTAATGAACGAATGGCAATTTATAGGTTATAACAAGTGTTTTCTAGTAGCTTCAAAAA